TCCTTCCTTCCTTCCTTCCTTCCTTCCTTCCTTCCTTCCTTCTGACAGTGAAAGGGAGAGTGTAGGACATCTAAAATGCTAAAATTGCTTTTATTTATTAGATTTTTTAAAACCTTTATTACTTTATAAGTAACTCAAGGCAGCAAACTTGCCTAATATTCCTTATTTCTCCTATTTTCTCCAAAACAATAACTCTGTGACCTAGATGGGGCTGAGAGAGAGAGAGAGCGCGACTGGCCCAGAATCAGCCAGATGGCTTTCATATCTAAGGCAGGACTAGAATTCACAGTCCCCTGGTTTCTAGCCTGGTTCCTTAACCACTAGGCCAGACTGACATAGCTTAGCTGCATAGGCTTTTCCCGACATTTACTCTGGGAACCAAAAATGCAAAGCAGCAGAAGAAAAGTGAATCGGAATGATCTGTTTTTGTTGGTCTACCAACAAATGGGCTGACTTTCCAGATATAAACCGAGCAGCCAGCCAAGGCTCTATCCCCCCCACCCCCCACCCCCCACTCCCACCCTTACTCCTGCTCTATGGATTCTCCCTTCCATCCAGTTTATCGGTACGGCTCTCTGTCCTAAAGACTGACTTCTCACAATTGCAGAGACTTTCTCCTACACCCAGAAGGCACCTACAGAAAAACAACTTTTTAACCGCTTCCTATTCAGAATGCATGAAAGACAAGCGATGCTCTGCGACATCCTTTTGCAGCCCAGCTGCTCCATCCCAGGTAGACATGGGTCTTGAACCATTGTGGTGTCTGAATGCAGCATTCTGCCAGGTGTTTTCTTCCCCTTCAGAGATTACGATCTTCTGAAGAGGATTGCAAAGGCCAAGTAACAGACTCCGTTCTGCTCAAGCTACCCTGCATTTTCACTCCCTTCCCTATCACTTAAGGGTAGAACACAGGAAGGAAGACCGGTGGCACAGTACTATTCCAACTAACAGATTAACAGAGTTGGAAGGGACCTTATAGGTCATCTAGTCCAACCCCCTGCTCAAGCGGGAGACTCTACACCATTTCTGACAAATGGCAGTCCAATATCTTCTTGAAAGTCTCAAGTGATGAAGCTCCTGTTGGAAGAAACATCCTTCTGGGTTCAGCTCCAAGTGGGGATAAAGACACTGGAGACATGGAGGCTGCTTGGGAAGATGGTTTATTGTTGGACAGGACCGCATGGCTTGAGCCCTGAACAGAAAAGGTGATCACATGCTTTGATGTAGGTGGAGAAGAAGAGAAGGGCTGAGGGAGGGGCTTGCTAGGGTTTTTATACCCTGTTCAGTCCCACCTCTCTGTTTCCTGTTCCTGTGTAAGAAATGTATTCTGATTGGTTGTCAGATTCCCATGGGGCCATGCAGGGGCTACTCTCTAGGCTGTGATGAGTTCTCAGAGGCCTTGTGGTCAGTTGAGTAATATCCCTTCCCCCTACAGCTGCAGTGAGGAGAAGTCTTTATTATGTAAAGTGGGCTAGCCTGGCCATCTTAATGGCCCATTAGCTGGGGATGGGCAGAAAGCTACAGGCAACTATTCTGTCTTTTAAAACATGTTTCTTTTCACATCCAGAGAAATATTCTGCCTTTTCAATATTTCCTAGGATATTTCATTTTTCTGGGAGAGGGCTGGATGATAACTTCCCACACTCCCACAACATCCAAAGACAACTTGTGTTCCATTGGTCAAAGAAGAAGATTATTAAAAAAAAAAAAACATTTATCTGGCTTCTTAGGAGTTAATAGGCTGTTGTTTTTCCTGTCCTTTGTTCAATTCTAAAAAAATGTCCCCTGTTAGAACTGGTTGCCAAGCCTGGAACTATTTCATTATTGCTGAAACTGGCAATGAGCTAAGGAACAGATGCACCATCACTTTGCCATTCATGCCATTTGCCTTCCTATGCGTGCATGCGCACACAGACACACACAAACATAGAGTATCCCTCCCCCCCCCATTATGCTCTGTTTACATGGCCAAGTAATCAAATAAGCATTTCAGCTGGTGGCAAACCGGAATTGCTTTCTTTCCTGACTTTATGCAATCAGGATCTGGGTGAATTCTGTCATTGCCCAAAGAAATAGATTTCCCAATTAGCAACAAACTGACTGTTATCATAGTCATAGAAACTGGATGATTAATCTGTTGTTGGCCTGACAAACCAGTAAAGAGAGCTTCATTATTTAACACTTTTTGGAGAAAAGTATAAAACCAACAACAACAACTAAGATTTATAAATGAACAGTTTTGTAGCTGGTCCATTGGTAGTGAAATGGTAAGATAGAAAACCAGCAGCTACTTAACTTTATTAGCAAAACGTAGAAACCTTTGCAAAGATAAAAGGATCGATATCATCTTTTTTTTATTCTTCAGCTCTTGGCAAGCAGATTGAAAACCCCTGTAGCTGTGAAGGACAAGATGGAAAAATGACACAGGAGATGGATGATGTGCACTATTAAGTAAACAATGGAGTTAGGATTTGCCTAAACTACTGAGTAGAATTTGGGGTCTCTTCCTGGATAAGGAAAAGTGCGAATGGCACTTTTCAGTGGAAATAAGAAGTAATTTGTTCCTAAAAACCACTGATCTTGGATATCTACATTTGCTGTTCTCCCAATCATTTCCTTCAGTTTAACTAATTTTTCAAAATGTGGAATTAACCCAGAGACTAAAAGAAAACAAACATTTTTTTTTATTTCCTAAACTGCGTAGGCGCTCTTTAGTTGCAATCGAACACAAGGCTTACTTTGGATTTACACCTCTTTTTTTTTTTTGGGATACACACAAATTACATTTTATCAAAAATTAACCAAACTTGACTAGATTTGCATAATATACTACCCCCCACCTAAAAGAAAAAAAGAAGGTGTAACCAAAGTTAATAGGGCAAGGTGACGAGTTCAAATTTCCTTTTAAAGAAAGCCTCTGGATCTTCATAATCTGCCTCTGCTTTCTATTCCTTATAACAGAGGCTGTGTAATTATTATTACTACTAGCTAACCTCTAACTTCTACCACATAACTACTACTTCTAACCTCCTCCTTCTGCAACTCTGGCACATGAGGGGTCCCACATCCTGTAAGGTTTTTTTTCCAATTACTAAGTCAAATTCTAAGAAAAAATATATGTTATAGGGCCGTTTCCCAGTGATATAGCATTGAGGCAAGAGGCTATAAGTACCAGTTATTTCTCCCATGGAGATAAATGTTAATTAAAGAAAATATTTTTTTTTGTAATTCAAATGTAAAACCCTCATTTCCTTTTAAATATCAAAATGCAAATATTCAAGGTTAAGGGAAAAAAATAGTTTCCCGAGTTGCCCAACATCATATAACTAGCACCTTGTTTTATTAAAAGTATAAAATAAATCATAATACTCTACTCAGAACACAAATTGTTAATTTTACTGCTTTGAGCGGATTTTACAAAACTTCAGTTATCATGGAAACGCAGTGAGATAAAATCCGTAAAACGTCAAAAAATACTCCAACTACCATGGCTAGGGTATGCTATTTTACAACTTATACAAACATAATAAACAATCAAAAATAATACACTGCCAAAGAAATTCAGAAGATCTTATTGCAAGCATCTGACAGAATATTTCTGTTTCTAGTGAAATAACCCAAATTCTTGAAATGAGTGTTGTCACTTATTTCCTTTTACGTAGAATTAAAATCCTTCTCCATATTAGCACACTTTAAAGTGAGCTCGATTTAAAAACAGCAGACTTAGAAGGTTGTAAAACCAGAGAATGGTTGTGTAAATGCCAGCGTGCATGTGAGGCTGTAGGTGTGAGAGTTGGTGGGTCCGCCATGCTTCTGTTTTTAACTCAGAATCTTTCTAAAGCAAATTTAGGTGTGTTAGGCGGAGAAGCGAATGCCAGAGTTTTCACCTAATGTGTCAACTAAAAGAATTGGTGGAATTTTTGCATTTTCATTTTATCTTTCACAACAGCGTTTCTACTTAACTTGTCTCTCTTGCCTTTTGTCACTTAGCTCCTACCACATCCTGTTTTGGTTCTTGGAATTTTTTTTTTCTGTTTTTAGCATGGGGCTGAGCTCTAGTGAGAGAGAGAGACAGAGAGCTTCTTTATTCTGTTGTGCAGTTGTTGCAAAAGGGTGATCAGATCTGGGAGGTAAGATTCAGGTGAACAATAGATGGCAGCAACCATTGATGGTTTCTGCCCATCCTACTAGNCCCTCCCTCTCTCTCTCTCTCTCTCTCACACACACACACACCCCAATGCCACATATATTAGTTCAGCCTCCCTATTATAGACCCAAAAAGTGCAAGACACAATTCTGATTAGAGGACCAGAACAGAATGTAGGTTGTAGAATAATTCCCTATAAAGAAATAGAAGGATGACTATTGACTCACATTAATTCAGTTCTGAAACTAGACACCAAATTATTAAAATGTTGAGAAAAAGACATCGGAGGTAGTTTTAAAAATTAACACAATGGGGGGGGAGGGGGAAATCAAACTACAGTAACATTTCAATATATTATGACATTTCCTTGTTGATGCCTCTGTGATTTACCTGTAGTTACACATGACAGAAGTTTTCTGGAGATTGAACAGAGTTTCTGCCTAGGGTACAACTTACTTTTTTTGGCTTCTTCAAGCTTATCTTTGGCCCGTTTTTCTGCCTGGAGAAGCTGCTGTATTCCCTGAGACTGGCTGGTCATTTTGCCTCTTTGAGTTCAGAGAACGCCTATGGCAATTGCGAAGGAGGAAGAAGGCTTTATGGCAAGGCACCATTTATTTATTCAACGCTTCTCCTGTTGTGTCAATAATCAAACCATAAACTTTGCCCTGTCTCTTTGCAGGCTAAAGCCAGATTAAAACCATGGAAGGAAACAAAAAGCAGGTGCAAAGAAGTGGATCTACTGGTTTGAGGGAGTTTCTCCATCCCCCCACAGCTACCCTCTTCCACGTGGTTTATTTGCAACCATCAACAGAAAACCTTTGCTAGCTCTGTTTGACGGTAATATTTATGCAATGTTTAGATTAAAAATATCAAGGTAGCCACGTGATTTGAGTAAAGCAAATGTCAGAAAACACTTGAATTTTCCCCCTTAATACTTGCTTGCATTGCAGATCCTTTCTTGCCATTAATATAGGCATATCGGTCATTGCTATTATATCACCACTTCTTTGTTTCACATTGCAGGCACAAGCACTCAGGCAGATCAAGATCTCCAAGGTGATTACTATTACTAGGATTAAAAGCCAGGATATATGGATCATGTGAGGACATGGTTTCCATTTCAGTCTTTTGTATTGTTTGTATTTTTTTTAAATCACTTCTATGTATGTATGTATTTGTGTGTGTGTGTGTGTGTGTGTGTGTGTATGTATGTATGTATGTATGTATGTATGTATGTATGTATGTATGTATGTATATATATATATTGCATTTGTGCTGAAGGGAGACTAGTATAGATCTATT